TGGTTTCAACCACTGTGCTGGGAAAGACTCCCATTGGTCAGTTTTAACCATGTGCCTCTCCTGAACCAATCACTATGCAGATTAGGGAAGAAACTTTCAGTTTGGGATCAGGTCCAGGGAAATGACGTAAGCTAAAACTAGGGAGAGATTGTCCCCAAGGAAGACAGGGGACACAGTGATGAGGAAGGAGGTACCTGATGGAGGAGTGGGGAAGGTACCTGAGAAAGGCATGAGGGGTTAAAATTGCAGGAGAACCAGAGCCCCAAGTTTGGACTGTGACCTGAAAATCAGCGTTTCCAGTGTTCCTCCCATAATCTACCCCTGTCACAAGTTGTATTTGCCATATTTACATTTTTCTCTACTTAAACTTTTTTCTTCATATTGACTCAGTTTAACTTTTTGAAAAAGAAATATTATTATATCATAGATGGAAAACCAGCATCCTTTACCATAAATAGAAGAAGAGAACTGTACAAAATAAAAACAATGAAACCAAAACTGGCTTCTTACAGTCTAGCTCAATGCTGGAAACTACAGACGACTTATCAGAAGAGAAGCAGAAATTGAAAAAGGAATCTTGCTCTCAATACGTGATTTAATGTTCTTCTACACCGTACCATGTGGCAGCTAAGGGCATTTTAGGGACCCCAAGAGTCTGGAACTCCCCACTTAGAAGTGTGTCCCGTACTTTTGGCCATGGGAGCAGGGGCACTGGAAAGGGAAGGGGTGTGTTGAGGGGTGGGGTTTAGAAAGACAGACGGCTTTGGTTAGATCAGTATCAGATTGTTCAGTGAGCTAAGTAAACGCAGGCTTATTTGCGCTCATTTACTAATTTGTAGTAAACACTTTCACATTTTTCTCACCACATCAAAGATTCTGCTGTTAGGTATGGCTGGCATCCGTAACACCCTTCTACAGAATCAGAGCCTGCTTTCAAGTTGACAGTCCCGGACACGGACAGAGTACTCAGTAAGCAAGGGAAACATGGGCTTGACTTGAGCTTACTGACTAACCTGGAGTGGACAACTCCACAAAATCCATGCTTACCTTGATTATAGTGTAATCAGCCCCTGGGTCAGAGTCGGAAAAGTGTCTGAGAAGAAAGACACTGTTTGCATAAGCTCAAGTGATACCAAGGGGGAGGCTGACCAGGTCCAAGAAAGGATCTGGACAGAAGGGATCATGGACAGACTGATCCAGGCTGAGTGTCAGGAGGAAGTGGATGGTTCAAGGTGAACCATCTTAACTTTAGCAACCAGGAACTCAAAGGAGAGGCTTGAAGAGCCTGGGATGTGGGAACATGGGGTGGAGATACATTCATCTGTTCAACAAGTATTTATTGAGCACCTACTATGTTCTAGGCCCTGAGGATGTATGCGACCAAAGAAAAATCACTGTGCCCATAAAGCCTGCCTTCTACTGGGGAGCTGGGGTGTGAGAGAGTCTGAGAAGAAACAAAGGAGTTATCTTCCATAGTGATGTGCACTGCTGTTGTTAAGTGTCGTTGAGTAGCTTCCGACCCATAGCGGCCCTATATAGGGTTTCCAAGGAGCGGCTGGTGAACTTGCACTGTCGACCTTGGGGTTCAAACCGACTTTGTAGTTCGGCGCATTAACCAACAGAACCACACCAGGACTCCAGGGATGTGCACTACGTGTGCGAAATGTCTGGATGGGAAGTGTGGGGTTTAGAAATACCAGTACTGGACTGCTAACTACAAGGTTGGTGGTTCAAATCCACCAGCCACTCCTTGGAAACCTTCTGCAGGGTTGCTGTGAGCTGAATGTACTTGACAGCACTTAAAAAAATAACAATAGTAGTTAAAAAAAAACAAATGGGTCTGGTGCTCAGGCAGGCAAGAAATGTGGACTGGAGAGATGTATTTGGGGGGACATCATTCATTCATATGACAAGTGTTTACTGAGCTCGCTCTATGTGCCAGGCATTGGGCTGTGTGCTTGTTGTTAAGTGCCATTGAGTCAGTTCTGACTCATAGTGACCCTGCATAGTGTTTCTAAGGAGCTGCTAGAGAGTTTGAACTGCCGGCCTTGCAGTTAGCAGTCTAGTGCTTATCCTACAGTGTCACACCAACACTAAATTCCAGGCTAGATTTAGTAAAGGCTGTACTATAAGTTGAAACTGACTCAAGCAGTGGATTAGAGTAAACCCCATGGGAACATATGAGGTTGCCAGTGGAGTGAGAAAGCATGTGAGTGAGTGTGTAGAGAAAGAGAGAAGGGCTGGAGATGAGCTCTGAGGACCCCCGATGGGTAAGGGTGGGCCAGAGGAAAGCTTGGCTGAAGCACACAGGCTGGGGAGAGAACCATGAGAGGCTAAGTTTCGAATGCTCCAGAAAGATGCAGACTAAAACCAAAACCTGACTTGGTGGCTGGCCCCAGTGAAAGCAGTTTCATGGCCAAGGTGCAAGCAGATTCTGGAGACACACACACACACACACACACACAGAGTCCTAGATCTGCCTACCCATGTCTTCTTAATGATTTTTTGCTTTCTTCTTGTATGATGTTCTTGATGCTATTCCACAACTCTTCAGGTATTTGGTCTTAAGTGTCTGAGGCATCAAATCTGTTCCTCAGATGATATCTAAATTCAGGTTGGATATACTCAAGGTCATATTTTGGCTCTTGTGGATGTTTTAATTTTCTTCAGCTTCAGCCTGAATTTGCCTATGAGCAATTGATGGTTGGTTCCACATTCTGCCCCCGGCCTTGTTTTGGCTGATGATATGGAGATTTTCCAGTTTCTGCCCACAGAGATAGTCAATTTGATTTCTGTGTATTCCATCCGGTGAGGTCCATGTGTATAGTCAGTTGTCTTTTATGTTGTTTTGAAAAGGAATTTGCAATGAAGAAGTCATCGGTCTTGCAGAATTCTATCATGTGATCTGCAGCAATGTTTGTATCACCAAGACCATATTTTCCAACTACTGATCCTTCCTCTTTATTTCCAACCTTTGTTTTCTAATCACCAGTAAATATCAATACATCTTGATTGCATGTTTGATGGATTTCAGACTGAAGAAGTTGGTAGAATTCTTTAATTTCATCATCACTGGCTTTAGTGGTTGGTGCGTAAATTTGAATAACAGTGGTATTAACTGGTCTTCCTTTAGGTAGATGGATCTTATCCTATCACAGACAATGTTGTACTTCAAGACAAATCTTGATAAGTTATTTTGATGCTGAATGTGACACCATTCCTCCTCAATTTGTCATTCCTGGTAAAGTGAACCCTGTGCCTGTCAGATTCAAAATGGCCAATGCCAGTCCATTCCGGTTCCCTAATGCCTAGGATATTGATGTTTTTGCATTTCATTTCATTTTTGGCAATTTTCAATTTTCCTAGACTCATGCTTTGTACTTTCCATGCTCCAATTATTAGTGGATATTTACAGCTGCTTCTCTTCATTTTGAGTTGTACCCCATCAGTAAATGAAGGTCTTGAGGGCTTTACTCCATTCACATCATCACAGTTGACTCTACTTGGAGGAGGCAGCTCTTCCCCAGTCACATTTTGAGTGCCTTCCAACCTTAGGGGCTCATCTTCCAGCACTGTATCTGACAATATTGGTGCCTTCATCATGTTTCAATGTTCAATATTCTGGTTCAGTACTCATAAAAGTTTTCAGTGACTAAATATTTGGAAGTAGTCTCTCCTTCCTGTTCTGACTTCTTCTGGAAGCTCAGCTGAAACCTGTCCGCCTTGGGTGATCCTACTGGTATTTAAAATACCCATGGCTTGACTTCCAGAAACACAGAAACACACAAACTACTACAGTATGACACAGTGACAGACAAGTGGTGGCCCAATACCATAAGCCATTTGATTTCTTGACTGCTGTTTCCATGAACAGTAAATGTGGATCCAAGAAAAATCAAATCCTTTAAAATTTCAATCTTTTCTCCATTTAACATGATGTTATATATTGGTCAGGTTTTGAGGATTTTTTTTTTCTTGCCCAGGTAATGGAGGAAGTGAGAAAAATGCGGAGATGAAAGAGAAGTGGGTCGGATGGTGTCTCCCAAGACAAATTTTTCTGGCGGTAGTACAGCGAAGGCCTGGTCTTGGTTTAATTGGACTGAAGCCGCTAGGACAGGTGTGGACCACTAGGGGGTAGCAGAGCCCAGCACCAAGTCTTTCATAACGCTTCCCGGCTCTCCAGCCAGTCTGAAGCCACCAGCTCCCTTCCGCAGGCAGATACTGCTGACTTGTCAATAAGAATCATGTAGTGGTGTGCCATCAAGTCAGTTTCAACTCACATCGATCCTGAATATAGTTTTGAGGCAGTAAATCTTTACGGGAATAGAAAGTCTAATCTTTCTCCTGCGGAGCAACTGGTAGATTCGAACTACTGACCTTGTGGTAGAGCCCAGCTCATAATCCACTGCACTACTAGTGCTCCTTAAACATCATGTAAAAGTGTGGGATTCTGTGGAAGAACTGGCCCTGTCTCTACTGCCACTTAGGCAAACGAATCCCAAGCACAGCTGGACACTGCCTGGTTTTCACCCATCTGCTCCTTCAGACCAGGCGGAAATGGAGGGCCCAAGTGGTCCTGTAAGGTGCTCTTAATGAGCAGAGGTGCCGTTGAGTCCATAGCTCTTGTTCCTGGGTCTCCGCTTCCTCGGATGTACAAGCGGGATACGAATATACGTAAACCGTATAGAAGATCATTAGGCAGAATTCAGCGGTCAGGGCCTCATTCAGTGAGGCACCAAGATTCTCGGCTGCTTTTATAAATAAACGATGTTCGTGAGAAAATCATGTCAGAAAGGATGTTCAACAGGATGTTAACAGAGATACTAATCCTTTAAAATCAAATGTTCATATTGTGTTCGCCCACTTGGTGCCAGGCGCGGGGCGGGGGTTGGGATTTCCGGTGGTTTTCACTTTCCTCTTTATACCTTTAGGCTTTCTCTGAATCAGAGGTCAGAATGTACCAATCAGAAGAAAAAACATTTTAAAACAAGCAGGTGTATTCACCGCTCTCCCGCGCAGAAAACTCTATAAGAGCGGGGTGTGCGCTGGTGGGGCGAAAAGGCCCCAGGAACCCCAGCCTCTGGGGTCTGCTGGAAGTATTCCTGACGGGGATCAGGCACCGACAGCAGCTCCTTGGCTGCGTACATCTGGTCCAGCAGTGCGCAGGCGCTGGAAAACTCCCCTCGGCCCGCATTTAGCTCCGCCCACAGTTTAGGCCTTTTTCCAGAGGATCCCGGAAGGGCCCACCTGATTCAACAGACTCTCACTCCCTTCTGAGGCTCTTGGAGCAAACGTTTGGTGCAATCAGTTCCTTTTCTCTCTTCTTCCATCTTTTCCAATTACTCTCTCCCTCCACATCTACACAGTTGATAAATGTCAGAATAAAGTTATCATCTAGCCCTGACAGGTCCAATATGGTAGTCACTAGCCACATGTGGCTCTTTCAGTTTACATGTTCTTTAAAATCAAATAAAAATGAAGAATCAGTTCCTTATTTGCATTAGTTACTTTTCAATGGTTTAGTAGCCACAACTGGTTTATGGGTATCATATTGGACAGAAGGTAATATTTCCAATAAAGCAAGAAGTTCTATATCTGTTCCAGATCCTCATCGGTCTTTCTATAAGATTGAGCCAACGTTCTTTTTTCTCTTTCTGATTCCCTTCCTGCAAATCTAAATCAAAACTCCGAGCTACACTCATGTCAGAATTGTTTAGCATTGCCCTGGGGTCAATTCCAACTCATAGTGACCCTCCCTGACCTTTTTGTTAGCAGCCACTACCAGAATGAAGGAACCAAGTGTTGAGGGGTCATATGCTAGAGGGGGACTGGGAACAGGCACAGACTGGGGAGATCCCACATCAGGATTTTCCACAGGCAGCAGGGGACCATTAGAGACCATGCCAGGAAGTCCTGCAGTGGCCCACACTGAGAGGCCGCAATTCCTGCACTGACATTCAAGAGATGAAGAAATTATAATGGGGACTGTCGTCAGGACAATCTTAGAGTTCAAATTCTTACTACTCGTCCCACTTTATAAATGAGAGAACTGAGGCAACAGGAGGATGTAGGGGACAGAGATTCAGAGGAGTCTGGGGCAATGAGCGTCAGATTTTAGGGGGATAAAATAATCCATCAAATAAACTGTGAACATGCCAAGCTCTTTGTATTTCAGGACCTTTGCACTTGCTGTACCCTTTCCCCAGTTCACTGGGGCTTCTTTCAGTCATTGAGGGCTAGATTTTAATGTCACCTCCTCAATGATCTGAACGCCTTCTGAGGACCCCACGTCTGTTTCTGTCACATCACCCTTCAGTTTGGAAACTTTCCTCTCCCCAGCTTAATGTGTCTACCCCACTGGACTGCGCAGCTAGAAAGGCAGGAACCTCACAGGTGCTCCCCAGCATTCACCACAGGGCCTGGGTGTGCTCAGTAAATATGGGTTAAAGGAATCACTTTCTCTACTTCCTCCATTCACGTGTTAAATGGAGGGATGGGGTTGGAGCAACAGGAAGAGTCCCTGAGAATGAGATGTTAAATCTGAGCACAACATGGTGTCTCCTTCTAGTTCTCCACTCCTGCTTCCCAGTACACTCAGACCTGTAGCCGGAGCCTCAGTTGATGGGTTGGGTCTTTCTCAGAATATCCTGGAGAGAGGCCAGAGGCCAGGACTCAATGCTGTCTTGGGCTCCCAGCTGAACTGTATCGTCACCATGAACACTCCTCTTCCCTTTTTATTGCTGAGTTTTTAAATTGGATTTTCTTGGATGCTGTTCAGGCAAAGTGGATTAGGGTTGATATTCAAGCAGGCACTACACTGTGCACAAGACAGCACCCCACGCTGTGCATGCCTGGGGTGAAATCCTGGCACAGTGACTTTCCCAGCTGTGAGACTCTAAGCTAATCCTCAACCTCTCTGAGCCATTTCCTTAGCTGTACTACTGGAGTCATAAATGGACCTCTCTCTTAGAGCTGTGGTAAAGTGCTGTCAAGGTGGTTCCAATTCCTATCTACCCTGTACAGGGTTTCCAAGGAGCAGCTGGTGGGTTTGAACTGCCAACCTTGTGGTTTGCAGCCCATACTGATCCTACAGCACCATACCAGGAGTCCCATTTTGCATGTTGTTGTTAAGTGCTGTCGAGTCGGTTCCGACCCATAGCGACCCTGTATAATTTCCTAGGAGTGACTGGTGAACTTGAGCCACTGATCTTGCAGTCCAGCACATTAACCCACAGCGCCACACCAGTAGTTGCCCTAAACTGTTACTCTGATAATAAATTATTTTTTCTAAAGAACTCTTAACCTTGGAGGTGAAAATTCAGAAGCTTGGTCGGGCTAGTGTACTACTGTGTGACTGGCTAGTCCTCTTCCATCTCTGGAGCTACACTTCCCCCTGTAAACCATGTGTTAGGGGAGCGGGGAGAGGGGTGTTTCTGTTAATACAGGCATTCTTCTAGTCCAAGGGTGAGCAGCTAAAAGGTTCAGCACAAAAGAGGCTTCATGTTAAGCAGTGAGTTCCTCATTTCTAGTCCGTTATGCAGAACACCAGCACAGGAGGGAGCCACAAACGGCCAAGTCTATAAGTTGGGACAGCCATTCAGACAATGAAGGGTCCCGGCTCCACAACCCCCCATCTGAGGCACACTCTACTTGCTATCTGTCCAATGTCAAGGCAGACGCACCTCCAGATCTACAGAGGGTATGGATAAAGGTGACACACTGCCCAGGTCCAGCTCCCGGCCTGCCACACAGCAGCTGTGCCACCATGAGAAGGCAGTTGCCACCCCCATCACTGCCCTATCCAGCTCTCCTGCTCAGACATCTTCAACCCTCAGTTCAGAGACTTTTCCTGAAGCAGCTAGGCCAGGGCACAGGCAGGGAGCTGGTGGACACCCTTTGTGCACTGGGCATCCTTTCCTAGAGTTCCTTGGTGGGATCCTATGCCCGACACCACACTGCTCATCTGTTCATAATGCAATCTTTTCTGCCTCCTTCCTTTCCCCCCTCCCTTCCAGGGTCTGCTGGGGTCATCCTCTAAACCTACAAATTGCACTGGGACCTTGTCTTGGGGGAATCCCACAGAGATAGCAATCTCCTTAGCCTCTTGCATCTCCATTCCTCACAGGGTTGATGTGAGGATAAATTGAGTCAGTAGATGTTTGCTTAATAAGTGAAAATAAAGAGCTAGAGCCTTTATTTACTATAAAATCCCACCCTCTCCCACCCACCCTGCTTAGCAGACACCAGGTGATAAAAACATGACCCCAACCCCACACACTGCTGAAACCAGGTCCTTGCAGTTCCCAGTCTGAGGGGTGAATGGAGGAGCGGTGTCCAGGTGGGAACCACACCTGCAGGGCTCTGTGGTGGCCAGCCTCAAGGCCACAGGGCACGTGTATCCTAGAGGCCGGGTCTGACAGTTGTGCCCAGGAGCCCGATGTGTATTGTGTGGCTTTGGGAGGTGCTCTTTCCTGCATCCTCCAGCCACCTTCCTTTGATTAAGTGTCACTGGAGTGCCCAGACTCTCTGCCTCTAGGTCAGCCCAGTAAAGCTGAGCAGTGACCACCCTCCCCGGACCTCAATTTTCCATCTACCACCCAATGTCTCCTTGGTTGGTTTTGTTAGTTTCGAGACTCAGTTTCCAATTTGGTGAGGTGGGGCAGCAGACCCCAGGACTGGGAAAGCTATGGTGATGAAGTGGTGCAGTGTGTGGCATGGGAGAAGTGGGCTGGACAGCTGTGTAAGAAAAGCTTAATGGTCCACTCACAAGTCGGGGTGCCCGGGGCCCAGCACTCTCACTTCAGGCCATTGTTGGAAGTGGTTGGGCAACTTCACACCAGTGTTCTGAGTCTTTCAGAAGCCAGCTGGGGGAGGCCTTTTCCAGGCATGGATTAGCCCCAGCACTCAAGGGGCTCCTCAGAGACAAGGAGCAATACCTAAGGCACCCTCACACAGTGGGGCTCTGTGGGGGCCACAGCCACCATCTTGGGGGGCTGGCCCGAGCTCAGAGAATTGCTGAGGTCAGGCTGGGAGGACAGTGAGGATTTTCTCTCCTGAGTCGGGGGTGCTGGTGAGGGGCTGGCCTCCAGGTGAAGCCCTTCTGATGCTGGATTCCCTGGGGGCTCAGAGCCGTCCCCACAGCAGCAGCCACAGCAGGGGCTGGACACAGCAGGCACCTTGCCACGTTCCTCCTGGCCGTGGCACTGTTTCAGGTGGCCACACAGGTGGCAAGTGAGGGTTGAGTAGACAATGCCACTGCCCAGGTCACCTCTCAGGAGGTCAGCAGCCTGCTCTGGGGAGAGCGGAGGCTTCTGGCTGTCTCCTCCCTTCTCCACTAGCCCCAGACTGAGGTGCTCTGGGGATCTACTTGGGAGGTGTGAGCTCAGTGGGCTGAGAGAAGGCTCTATGTCTAGCCCAAAGGTGAAGTGGGGGAGTATGATGGAGCCAGAGGCCTCGGGGCAGCCAGGAAGGAGGTTCTGGAAAGGCTTGTAGCTCCCCTCCTCACTGGTGGCCTCAACCCCAGGTCCCCCAGGGCAGATGGCATTGCTGGTAAGCAGGCTGGAGAAGGCCTTGTACCCAACCTCCCCAGGAGGGCTCACGGGCCAGCCAGGCTGGGTGCTACTGGTCCTCACTGCGCTCACAAAATCCCGATAGCCACTAGCCTGGGCTGGGACAGGCGCCGGGGCTGCCCCCTGCTGGAGGACACTCTGACGGAGTATCTGCTCCCAAGTCTCCAACTCAGGCTGCTCCGAGGGTTGGGGGGCACCAGGAATCTGGGAGTCTGCTTCCCCCAAGTGTTGAGTCAGCTCTGGGCCTCTGTCCAGCTTCCCAAGGCCTGGAGATTGGCTCAGGCTGCGGTAGGCGGGGTTGTCTGTGATGAGAGTGGGTGTTTTGGTGAGAGCCAGGCTGGCCAACTCTGGGTCCTTGCCCTGCACAACAACCTCTCTGGGCCCGGTGCTTGGGACCTCCACCCAGGGTGTCTGAGTACTACTTTCTGACAGTGGAGAAGGGAGTGGCTCCCCCAGGCCCGGTGGGCTGCAGTCCCCATCCTGGCCCCCAAGGAGGTCCAGGAACAGGCTCTCTGTCAGCCGGGCCACAATGCCTTCCCTGCCGTCCTGGCAGCTGCCCCCACTGCTCTCTGGTGATGGGCAGAAGCTCCCTTTATCTTCCTCCTCTTCCTCTTCCTCCACAGGGGCCTCAAACAGCTCCAGAGAGCGCACCATGCTAACAGTCTCTGGCAAGAGCACCATCTTGCTGAGCTCGACAGGACACCAGGCTGACTTCCCAGAGCCCTGGACAGGCCCCTGTTTGGTAGCCTTGAGGGGGTCCTCTTCCTTTTCCTTGCCATGCTCCAGCAAACAGGGCAGCAGCTTGGTGAGACACGTTTTCCAGCGTCTGCAAAAGCAAAAACAAGTTGGTTAGGGCTCTGTTTCTCTCCTTGGCAAACTCCTATCCATCCTTCAAAACCCGATTTAAAACCACCAATAATGACTGTCTATTTATTGCAGACATGCCTCCTGATTTTATAATCAATAATTTATCAGTCTACCATCATGACTAGCCTAGTGACTGCTGGAGGGCAGGGCTGCGTCTTAGTTTGAGATTTCTAGAGCCCAGCACATGACCTGGTACTTATCCCAAACTCCAGTCTATTGAATAAAGTAAGTCTTTATCAGGAATGATAGTATTTAAAATACCTGCCAACACCATAGTATAAGCAATGTCCAATTAGAATGAAGGTGGGGTGTCTGGAGCAGGGCTCTGGAGCCCCCCTGTGGCCTCAGGTTGCTGCTCAGGCCTGACTGAGCATCTCTGAAGGCCCTGACCCTCTCTCCAAGGGGTTCAGCGTGTGTGTCCGAGCCACAGATGAAACAGTGGGCTCCTTCAGCAGCCCCTTCAGGCCCTCACCTCTTGCAGCCCAAAGTCCCAGGACAAATGCTAGACCCCAAGGAAGAGAGAGTAGATGGGATGAGCCTGCTGCCACCCCACATTTATCAGCTCAGAATCCAAGCAGGTTACAGCCTAAATTCATATACATACGGGCACGGGGTGAGTTTCTGGTTTCGGGATTGCTTTCCCCAGAGCGGCACCTAAAACAGAGACAGCCCGTGAGACATAGCTGAGCCCAGCCCCCAGCAGTGCCCGCCCAGTGCTCCCATGTCCTTCCTGCTCCCCATCCGCCCAGCCCAGATTCGAGGCCCCCTCCCCTGCTGAGTCCAGGCTGGAATCCCCAGGCGAAACTGCCCACCTGCGGAAGCATAAGCGGAATAAGTGAGTGCTGTTGGGAGACCCCACAGATGAGGGTGATTGTTACATAGTTAAACCTAATTGACTGACCAGTGGTGCTCTGTGCAGAGCCCTTCAGTGTTTACTTGGCATGGACTCGCTCACTGAATCCCCACGTCTGCTGGAAGACTCTAGGCACATAATGACCGCAGCAAGCTGCTGAATCAGCCTCCCGAAAGCTTCCTAACTTCTCCTTGCTCATTTCAAAAGCTTGTGAGTGTCCTTAACATCTCAGCTGTTTTACAGTCTGTTTCCTGATACACCATCAAATGCAACCTCCCTCCACAATCTCCCACCTGAGACTCTTGGATGATGATAGTTATGAGGGGACTGTGCGCTGGGTTGGGAATATGATCCCACCATTCCTTCTTAATCCTGAAAAACAAAAGAAGGTTTTGACTGATTGATGCTCTTCCAACAAAAATACTTATAGGCTTGCTATGAATCAGCAATGACTCAATGGTAGTGAATTCTAGAATACTTGTTCAGCACCAGATACTGTGCTACAGGTTGTTGTTGTTGCTATGTGCATAGCCGTGGAGTCGGTTCTGACTCATAGCGACCCTGGACAGGGTTTCTGAGGCTGTACATCTTTATGGGAGCAGAAAACCTCATCTTTCTCCCACTGAGCAGCTGGTAGTTTCGAACTGCTAACCTTGCAGTTCACAGCCCAATTCGTAACCACTACGCTACCAGAGCTCCTTAGCCTCCACCAACTTCATCCAGTCTTTCAATACATATTTATTGAGCACCTACTATGTTCCACTCACTGTGCCAGGCCCTGAGAACACAGCAGTGAGAAGGAAAACCCCTGCCCTCATGGACCTGACATCCTGGGAGGGGAGCGGGGGAATGGACAATAAACAGATACAGAAAGAATGATGTGAGATCTTTATTCCTGGCAATAAGGGCCAAGAACCAAAATGAAAACAAAACACACATCTCTCCAGTTCTCCCTGGTCCTCCCTTCAAAGCTTAGATCAGCACCGAAAGCATCTTGGTTACTGCTGACCTGTCATCTTCTGTCTCCCCACCAGGAGGCAGGTTTAGCAGCACAGGGTCCTACTGTCTGGTTCTCAGCCCTCAGCCACGCTCAATAAATCTTTATTGCTGAATGAATGGACTGTGAACTGACAGATGAGAGGGGGTTCCTGCGTGGAGCTCTTCCCTCCCACTCCCACCTTCCACCTAAGTGGGCTCGCTCGCTGGCCCCATGCTGAAGCCCACCAGGACTCACTTGATGATGATGAAGTAGAAGGACAGGCAGACGGCCAGGATGACGACGCAGGAGATGCTGACACCCAGTGTGACGCGTTGTTCTAGGGGCTCTTTGTATGCTGGAAGAGAGAGGGGAGGTGTGAGCCGGACTCTCAGTGATGCCAAGCCCAGCCCTCCTGCACACTGGTCTCCTGGCTGGCCCCTGACCCTCCAGAGCTCGCACCACCGCAGGACCTCGGACTTGCTGCGCTCTCTAGCCTGATGCATGGAGGATCATTTGAAACCGACTTTCTGAGCTCAAAACCTGAACGTCACATTGCTGCTGACCTAGGGCAAGTCCTGTTATGAACTGAATTGTGGTCCCCCAAAATATCTGTTGGCACCCTATACTTGTGCATGCAATCCCCTTGGAATTATGGTTCCTTTGCTATATGTCCCAAACCTAACCACTTATGAGTTGTAAGAGTAGATTTGACACCGAAGGGGGCACAAAAGAGGAGAGGGAGGATGGTTGCCCTATGAGGACCACCCTGGAACCCAACACTATCAGGGCTACAGAGGATAGAAGGGGCCAGTACTGCCCCCCAGAGCGGACCTGTAGCCTGCTCAGCTCTGAGAACTCTTTAGCTCTCTGTGCCTCAGCTTCTCAACTGTTGTTGTTGTTAAGTGCCGTCGAGTCGGTTTCGACCCATAGCGACCCTGTACAGGGTTCCCAAGGGTGTAAATCTTTACGGGAGTAGAAAGCCTGATCTTTCTCCCGCGGAGCAGCTGGTAGTTTCGAACCGCTGACCTTAAGGTTCACAGCCCGATTCGTAACCACTACGCTACCAGAGTTCAACTGTACAAGGGGTTAAAAGCAGAGCTTTTCTCAGAGAGTTGTTGTGAGGCTGACAAGGATGAGTATACCCACATACTCGGTATTCAGCCACTGTTTTTATACAGCTGGCTCCTGCTCCAAGTTCACATCACTGTCACTTGGTTAGAGACATCCAACCAGATTTACTTTCTTCCCAGTACCTACCGTCCCCTGAATCTGACTGGCTTCTTAGTTCCTTCTCTGTCTCCCTCTCCAGAAATTCAGCACCCCAACCGTGGAGAGTGTTGTTTTGTTCTCTGTCGGTTCTACAATGTCGAGTGCAGGGACAAGCACGTGGTGGTTGGTGGCGTGCCACGAGTCAGTTCTGACTCATAGCCACCCTGTATAGGATTTCCAAAGCTGTAAATCCTTACTAGAGCAGAAAGCCTTTATCTTTCACCCACAGAGCATCTGGTAGATTGAAACTGCTGACTTTGCAGTTGGCAGTCCAACTCATAATCTACCATATCACCAGGGCTCCAGAGACACATCAGGTGCTGTTGAGTTGGTTCTAACTCATAGTGACCCGATATACAGTTTCCAAGGAGCAACTGGTGAGTTTGAACTGCCTATCTAACGTTCCAGTGCTTTATCCCACAGCGCCATACCAGGACACAGTAGGACCCAAATAAGCATTTGCTCAAGTAATGAGTGAGTGGCCAGCACATTTCTCCATGTCAATGACAGAATCAAATCAATTCAACAAAACTTTCCCTAACAGCTGTGTGCCTGAGCCTGTGCACAGATACTGCCTCATGGAGTTGCCAGACTGGGAGACAGTCCACACATAGCCACAGTAAAGCTGGATGGTGCTGAGAGGGACAGTGGCACGGACGATGTCTGAGGGAGCCTACCCAACCCAACAGCCATTTTCCCTTCTTCTTCCCTAGGTAGCAAGGTGCTCACCCTGGGGTTCACCTAGTCCCTTTCAAGGCATTTGAGTTCCCAGCCTCCTTTGCCAGTTAGGGGAGGTCATGTGACAAGTGCTAGCCAGTGATAAGTCAAGGGGAAGTTTGGAGAAAAACTTTTACTTGCAGATACTTTTACAAGGTGCGTTCCCTCCTGGCAGCCTTCCTTTCTATGGGTTGAGGAGTAGGGGGGCAGGGTAGGAGGGTGCAGCAGCCAGCTTGGGGCCATGCTAATGCTAAGGCCAACAGATGGGAAGAGAGGTGACCCCACTGAGCTAAATGAACCATAAGACAGCCTGCTAGTTAACGTCAAATAATTCAGCATTTCTATTAAAAACGCCAAGTGTGGCAGAGTTGTAAAGAGTTGTTTTGGGATGTATCGGCCAACTCAAGGCCTGTATTTCCCAAAATGCCTTGCAGCTGTGTGTGGCCATGTGACCAGTTTTTATACCAATAAAACGTGTATTACTTTTCGGTAAGGCTTTAAGGAGAGGTGTGGTCTTAGCTTTCCTTCCTTGGCTAGATACAGCTAGTGAGAGACCCTAAAACAGGGATTCTTAACTTGGGGTCCAGGAACCTCCAGCAAGATTGCAGACAGAATTTAGAGGCTTGGGAACCTGGATGGGAAAGAAATTGCATCTTGGTTTTCACTAACTTTTAACTGGTTTCTAGCATTTTCCTTCCATTAGCAACAAAGGGGGCAAATTACATTAATGAAGATACCAGTGGCTCTGTTAGCACCAGAAAAGAAATCAAAGCTGTCTTCACATCACATCAGTTCACAGATTTTGCAAAATATCATTTATACTCATCTACTTTGAAATTTTGCTCAGATCAACCATCAACACTCATGGAAGCAGACAAGAAATTAAATCATGCATTGCACGGGGCAAATCTGCTATACAAGTTAATGTGTTTGTAATGAAACACAGCTATTCCTATTAACAACTGCATCTAAAAATAATTTATAACTGCATTTCAATACAATTAGTATCTCTGTAATCTTAGGTATTTTATTCTATGCATTTAAAACCATTATTCTATGTGGTGCTGTAGGATAAGCACTAGACTACAAGGTCGTTTGAATTGCGAAGTTGGTGGTTCAAGTTCATGAGTCACTCCTTGGAAAACCTATACCGGGTCAATATGAGACGGAACCAACTTGACAGCACTTAACAACAATAATGAGATTCATACTCTTCACCCGAGGAATCCACAACACAAAAAAGATTACACACATTTGCTCTAGTGGGTGACAGAGCGTCACAAATAGATGGAACCTGGTCCCTAAATCACCACTTGGAAGGAAAGCCATCCACAAACCAACACCATTCACACCAGACTGTTACTGGAGCAAGAAATCCATGCCAACTGTATTAAAGTCACTGAAACTGTGGACTGAGTTCTTACTATAGCCTAGTCTACCTAGCATAACTGGTGCAGTGAATTATTTAGTAAACTCCCACAGAGAGCTGAGACACCGGAGAAGCAGTAGAACCAAGAGCCAGAACAGGAGACAGTGGATGTCCTGGCCCTCGGAGCAGGTAAAGCTGAGTGACTTTGGGCAGGAGGTTTGTTTGTTGGGTGGGCTGCCTCCAGGCACTCAACTTGAAAGTTAGGTTTGCTGACCTGGGGGCAGCTAGTAGCTGAGTGCCTGCAGGCTGAGGCTTCTAGAGGAGAGGAATGTCCTTTACACATTTATCAGCTGCTCTGAAAGCTTTGTAAGATTGCCAGAGCGGAGCAAAGGCCCGGCCAAGAGAGAGCGCATGGCAGAGAGAGAGGCTGTCCTGCCAAAGACCCACACCCTGAGCATTGTTGACCTGTCCACGTCCCCAATAAACCCCATAACTGGCGTAGGGTGTCTCAGCTCTGTGTGGCCATTACCCAGGATTATGGAACCCAGGCGAGTAGAGAGTGCTGTGGGAGAAATGGCGGGTGCCATTTTTTTTAGTCTGTAATTCCCTTATTTGATGTTAGAGGCATCCTAGGGAACTGAACCAGAGCTTCACCAGTGGGAGGGTCTGGCCACAGAGGACTAGGCTGGGGTGGGATTTCTGACACTCACTGTTGTACCACGTGCGGCTGTGGCTCCACTCGCTCCAAGAGCTGTTGTATTCTGGGGACTGGGCCCTCACACGTGCCTTGTAGGAGACGTCAGCCTTCAGAGAGTTGGCTGGCAGGCGAAGGAAGGGCCTGCTGTAGGTCACCTGCTGAACTGTGAACTGATAAAGGGAAACGTTATTGCACCAGCTGGGAAGAGGCGTCAGCTCCCACCCTGGCTGCTGTCCTCAGATGACCCCACCAGGCATGCAGGTGTGCCCTTGTCTCAAGTCTCTGCCTGCCACCTCCACAATAGTGACAGAGGAGGGGGAGGCAATCAGAGCCTAAGCCCTCGCCCCCACACCCTCCCCTCCAATGCTTAGCCATGTTTTATCACTCTGCTGAGCTGATTAACCTTCCTGAATTTTAATTTCCTCATCTGTAAAATAAAAGTAAGAAAGAATCCACACTGTTACTTTCTGGCTGTGTGATCTTAGACACACAGCGTCTAATAAGTGCATAACCTCTCTGAACCTTAATGTCCTTTTCTGAAAGATTAGAATAGCAAAGGTGGCTACCTCCCATTAACCCAATAATGCAAGGAAGCACCTAGAACAAGAGCTGGCATTCAGGAGGTACCAGAGTGACCGTCCTGAAGCATGTTCCTCTTGGCCTGTCATCGACTCTCCAGCACCATGGCTAAGCCCAGCCCATGACCTGGAATCGAAGGCCTTACCCAACCAGCCTCAGCTGGGATGTGACTGCCATGAACTAGCAGAATCAGAGTCTGAATAGTATGTGTCATCTGCTACCTTTTATGGTGAAAAAAAGAGAGACAAAGAAGGCACCGTGATTGAGGCAGACAAACTCTAAGATGACCCCATGATCCCACCTCCTTGGTGTAGACAGGACCAGGTGATGGGGTGAATCAATTAGGAGTATACAACAACACCACATCACACTGATGAACATAGAACTAAGAAGGGCAAGAGATGACTAGATTTCTAGAACCTTGTCTGTGCAACTGGATCCAGCCATGCCTGAAGGTAGCTCAAGAAATAAGGTCTCACCACTATCTCCTCCTGCAGCTCACCCCCTGAGCTCTCAGCAGGCCTGGCAAGGAGACAGGCCTACAGCACAGCCTGGCCCAGTCTCTGGCTTCTGTACCCCTCCCCTGACCACTCTCTCAGCCTTTGCTGCAGCACAAATTTCATGCTTTCAACAGCTATATGGGGTGCGTACCCTTATGACTCCCACGTTACAGATGAAGAAACGGAGGCATCTGAGATCCTGCCACTGGCACGGCAGGGATAGAAAGCCAGCTCTGTGGGGGTCCCGGGCTCAAGGGGTTCAGATACTGCTTCTCCATGGGAAGGTGAGGAAGGTGGGCTTGGGACTCGAGGGCAAAGTCTGGGTGGCAGGAGGTGATTGCCTTTCTCCTCCTCCCCCTGCAACTAAAATAGGTGGGCCAAGCCATGCCCAGTGTACTGCCTTTGTTGTGATTCCCGTAAAAGCCCAGACTCACTGCCATCAAGTCAATTCTAAATTGTAGCAATCCTAGAAGACTCAGTACAACTGCCCCAGAGGGTGTCCAGGGCCGTAAAGCTTTCCCAGAACAGACAGTCTCATCTTTCGCCAGTGGAGCAGCTGGTGGGTGTGACCTGCTGACCTTTTGGTCCCTGCTGACCAAGTGCTATATATAAACCAACTCCAATATGTTGATTTTAAGAGGAAGCAGACTATCACTACTGTGGATGGGAAACAAGTGTCACCAACAACAAGGGTCACATAAAAGTAAACAATGAAAAGCTAACTGCGTCACTATGTTGAGGCTGAAAATGCTTTCCCCAGGGGAGTATTCTTTGCTTCTGAGCCTTTTACATGGAACAGATTCAAGATTCCTCACCCCAGTCACTAGAGAAGTCCATTTCGGGGAATTCAGTCTGAATTGATGCCTTAAAAGAGCCATTGCTCAGCTCCCGGTTCTCCAGAGGGCCTGGGGTGCCACCTGGCCAACAGGTAGCTCAGCTGGAAGAGGGTTTGTTAGCAGAAGTGCCAGACCCTGCCACCCGAGCCTCTCTTTTTTTCTAGTTTTTTACCAGACTGCTCTTTATTAAATTGGATTCTGTCCCATCACATTTATAATTTCTGTAATACGAAGCAAACACACATCAAAAACAAAAAGCAAACGACGTTAGGGAAAGTTTTCAGTCTTAACACTGAGGAACGGCTTTGGTGGCTGTTGAGATATTAACAGTTTCTCTTTCGAATCTTTGGAGTGAAGAGGGCGGATTGAGTCTAGTGAAATACTAATCTCAAGCTCTTGAGAAGTTCCTCGGTTTACAGCAGCAAATTCCATCAGTTCTGCCCCATACATACCAGTTTTACTGAAGGTGAATTTCTTGAGCCTGTTCTCAGTCTAAAGCACTGAACTCTAGTGCTAAGAGCAAATTTCTAGTCAGCTGTGCTTCCATACCCTAAAATATTTCACGGGAGGTGGATCTGGGTGAGAGGTGGGCAGGTAAACTGGGCCAAAGTGAGAGAAATCTACTTCTGTATAGTTTGGGGCTTCAGACTCTATGAAACATTCATTTTGATTGTCACATACCACAGAAAGTTTCCGAGTCAAGCTCTCAAAGTGCAGTTTGTATGGAGAAGAGTCATCGGGAGATCACGCTCTGCAAGGATCCCCAGGGAGGCTCTCAGAGCTCTGTGATGTGTTCCCTTGGCCCGCCCCCTGCTTCCCAGCACCTCTGCAGGGTTAGAGGGGCTTCTGCTACTTAATCATCCAGGAGTCTACATCTTCAACTTGTTCCAAGTTGGGTCAGGCATTAGTGCCAGATACTAGAAGCTGCCGTTTCTTTATTGCCACCGATAAGGAGCTCTGGTTGCTTAGTGAGTTACGCCTTGGGCTGTTAACTGACAGGTCAGCAGTTCAAATCCATCAGCCGCTTCGAGGGAGAAAAGTGAAGCTCTCTCTGCTCCCATTAAGATTTACAACCTCGGACCCTAGATAGGGTCACTATGACTCAGGACAGATTCCACGGCACAGAACCACCGCCATCACTGCCACTGATCAGAGATACAGATGGTAAAAGGAATAAACGAGGAAGGTGTTCACCTGGAGCTTTCTAGCAGGGGACCATTACTCTCCTGTCACCCATCCCCACCCTCTACCCCCTAGGCCTGCCTAACTCCTTGCTCGTGTGGCCATGCCTTCTTGTAGATGCTAACAGTCCAAGTCTTTGTTCTTGGACACCTGACCAGCCAATCAGAAGGCAGCATCCACTAGGGCGGGAACCTGGCCAGTAGTGCATCCATCCCAACAGCTCTGCTGCCTTCGACCTGCCCTGTCCCGTCTCCATCAGAGGCCATAGGAATCACAGGGACGGCTCCACTGCTGGGGACACTTGTCACAAAGGGCACGTGGAGACTCGTAACAGAGGGAGCATTTGGAGCAACTAGGAGGAGCAAGTTTATTCTGTATTGAATGATTGTTAATTAATCTAGTATTAATCCTTACAGATGAGCAATAATCATGAAAGGAAATTAAAATCATAGATAAAAATAGGGATTCATAAACTAATCTGCTAAACTGACTCTTCCTTCCTGACCCCTCAGGATGGAACAGGAACAAGCACAGAGGGCTGTCTCACTTTGTGGCTCAGGTTATATCATGGTGTCTCCCCATGGGTGTCACTCTGAGGATACAGTGGTGGTCCCCAAAGCCCTTCCTTTAAAGACAAGGAACAGTGAGCACAAACAAACCCCCTTCATGACACACTGCAAACCAGGGGCTCAGAGAGGCTGAGGGACTTAAGCCCTATGAAGCCTCAGAGCTTGTCCCCCACCCCCAAGTTCTCACTTGCCACCTGCCCACAGGATTCCCAGGGGACCTCCAAGAAGCCCCGTAGCACATGACTCACATCCCAGGGGTCATTTTCATTTGAGATGTTGACCAGGTAGATGAGCCCTGAGTACAGGAAATGGTGAGGGTCATATGGGTTGTTCCACGTCAGCAGCAGAACCTCAGAGTTATTCTTGTGGACTGTGAGGTTTGTGGGCGTCCTAGGTTTGACTGTGGAGGAAATGGAGCCAACGTTAGGGTCTGGACCAGGACCCACCCTTGCAGACCTGTGGGTCATTTCCATGTTTAGTCAACACCAGCATTGGCACATTTATGGGGTACCACAGAAATATTTACAATCATCATACCGATTACTATCGCTATTAAGTGCCATTGCGTCAGTTCCAACTCATAGTAACCCTATATGGGATTTCCGAGGAGCAGTGGTGGGTTTGAACTGTCAACCTGTGGTTAGCAGTTCAGTGCTGATCCTATAGTGCCACACCAGGATTCCTAATACAAATTAGAGTTACTAAAATTGTTTATAGCACTTCGGTGTCTATTATAAACTACCTGGTGTGGTGTTGTGGGTTAATGTACTGGACTGCAAGGTCAGTTTGAAACACAATGTCAGTGGTTCCAAACCACCAGCCGTTCCTCAGAAACCCTATACAGGGTCGCTGAGTTGGAACTGACTCAATGGTACTTAACAACAACAACCACCTTACTACAGGGGGATCACGGAAGCTCTGTAGGACAAACACTGGACTCACAACACATTCCATGGGAGAGAGATGAGGCTTATTGCTCCTACAAAGATTTACAGCCTCAGAATCCTGCACAGGGTCACTGTGAGCTAGAACCGACTCGATGACACGTACCACCACCTTACTATGGTGAATACAAAAAGTATAAACCAAAGTCACCAGGAGGTCAACTTTTCCACATTCAGCCTTCACATCTTTGGTCACACCTGGACACTATGCTATAATTTACTAAGCTTTTTGTTTGTTTTGTACTTTGATTGATTCACTTTTTAAAGACATTTATTTTTAAGTACTCAGGTCCATGAGCCACAAGTATCTGATAACACACTGAAATCAATATACAAACAGAAAAATTCATTTGAAGTTCAGCCATGGGTCAGTTTGAAAAATCTTTCAACCACCAGCAGGTACAACCAGACTCTTGAGGAAAGGCTGAAGGGGCAGTTATAGAGAGCCCCACAGAGAGACCTAGCCTTGAACTTTGCTTCTGCTCCTTCACAGCTGTACGGCCTCAGGCAGGCTACATGTCTTCTCTGAGCGACAGTGTACTCAACCAACCATAACCTGGGAATACTAACTCTCTTCTGGAAGCTGAGGCTCAGAGAAGTAACGTGACATGTACAAGGTCACACAGCAATGAGTGATGTTTTAACTCTGGTCAGTACACCCCAATAAGCTCATGGGAAATTCCAGCAGCTTTGGATAACATCAGACAGAGCTCTGTGGTTCAGATCATCTGAAGCAGAGCAGCAGCAGCTGACCAGTTGTCAGAGGGTGGAAGGACTGTCCCCAGGTCACTGTCCGACCTATAGCAAGTGTGCTCTACGAGGCAATCAAACATCTGTCATCTTAATACCCTGGGCACTGAAATTCGGGGTGGGGAGAGGATCTGAGCCCAGCCCCACTTTGCAGATGGGGCAACTAATGCCAGAAAGGCGAGTCTGGGAAAACATAGTACTACTTCATTGGTCCTCCTCCCCAGCTTAGTGCCCCACCCACCTTCTCCCAGAGCACAAGTAGCCCCTGCCCGCCCCCCCCCCACACCCTCACCATGCTGGCTGGGCTGGAAGGTGTCTGTCCACTGCAACTGCTGCCCAGCCCACAGGCTCAGAGTATAGGTGTCATCGTAGAACGTGATGCCCAAGAGCATACTGCACACGCACACAGCGTCTTCCTTGTTCTTGGGGACACATGTGTGGTTTCTGCATACACAAGAGGCCTGAGTTAGGCTGGCTGAGACCACAGCTGTCCCCAGGATGGGCCTCGAGGAACCTCACCACACACGCCCTGAAAGCCAGCAGAAGGGAGAACCAGCCGCATGGCCTTTAGAGACACGACTTTAACACATGTACGTGTGGCCTGGCGCTCTGGTAGCGTAGTGGTTACGAATCGGACTGCAAACCTTAAGGTCAGCGGTTCGAAACTACTAGCCGCTCCGCGGGAGAAAGATGAGGCTTTCTACTCCCGTAAAGATTTACACCCTCGGAAACCCTGTACAGAGTCGCTATGGGTCGGAACCGACTCGACGGCACTTAACAACAACAACAACGTGTGGCCCGAGGTGTGTACTGTGTTGTGCCGTGGCATGCCTCCCTGCACACCACAATGTGATCCTAAAGGGCCACCTACCACAGTCAAACCCACATCTGTAAAGGGTCAGAGAGTAACTAGTGTAGGAAATACAGTCTCTTTCCTAACTAGACAACTCCGTAGTGCAAAGCAGCCAGGTTCTTATTGTTAGGAGCCATTGTGTGGGTTCTGGCTCATAGTGACCCAATATAGCGTTTTCTAGGAGCAGCTGACCTTGTGGTGAGTTAGCAGTTTAGTGCTGACCCAACAGCACCACACAATACATATGCAAATGAGCATGGCTATGTCCCAATAAAACTTATTTACATAAACAGGTGGTGGGCTAAATTTGGCCTATGGGCTATGGTTTGCTGCTCCCTGGTCTACCTTAGTATATCTGGGAATACCACCTCCATCAGCATATCCTGTCGGCAGGTGTGCTGGTGCAGCCAGATATGTTGTGGGCACCACTTGCAACAGGGCACCCCACAGACTATCCTAAAGAAACCCCACTCTAACATTGGACTCCCTGGACAATGGTCAAGCAGGGTGACTCTCAGCGTGTGGTCCAGGGGGCCACTAGTCAACCCTTTCTCATAGTAATACTAAAACACTGTTTGCTTTTTTTCATTCACTTTCTCTCATGAGTGTACAATGGAATTTTCCAGGAGCTACACGATGTGGAATGATGTCATTGTTCTCTGGGCTCATGGAAATGTGGGCTTGTGTGTGCTTGTGGCTTAAAATTCCTCAATTTTCATTTCAAATAGAGTAAATATCAATACCAAGAGAGGCATGCCACTGAGACAAGACAGAAGCCAGCACAAACTGGAACAAAGGCTTTTAGGTCCTAATTTTTCATTGTGCAGAAGGGTCCAGCATTCCACCCACATCCATCGACAGGGTGCTCTGAGCCCAACAGTACACCACCCCTTCACCCACGACATCCCCCCTCTGACCTCCTCTTCAATACACACTGCATCAGTATCGCCTGGACCAGGCCCCGCAGGGACAGCCACCCAGACTCCCAGCCCCACGCCAGCTTACTCAAAGGGGTCAAATTCCTGCTTGTAAAACAGTAGGAGTGTGGTGTTGCAGTTGGTGGGGTGGTCCATCTTCCATTCACAGGTGGCAGTGCTGACGTAGTCAGAGAAGCAGGTGGGCGTCCTCAGAACCTTCACACTGCCTGGGGGACACACAGTGCTCTGAGCAGTGGGAACCCACTGAGGCCAGTCAGAAAGCAGCCTGCACCAACCAACCTCAGGCCCAGGCAAAGACGCCTGCTAATGCCCAGGGAGCTGGGGCAGGGACCGGGGCTGGCACGGACGGGTTCCTGAAGCAGAAGAAATAACATCTGGAAGGCAGAAGCCATGAGGGGGACAACTGGATCAAAGGCACCTTTGTTTTCCACAAACTCAACTACTTGTTCTTTGTCAAATTAAAGACAAAATGATGTCACTGTTTAAGGAGCATTTTCCTACTACACAGGATCCCTGAGGCTGGTGTTTCCGACTCCCCAGATGTTCTATTCTGTTGGGGACCAAAAGGCTTACAGGCCTCACTAAGCTTTAAGGCTGGGTCTAACCAGACAGTGTCTGCTTATCAACACAGCAGGGAAGGTAACTTTCCCAAGGTTGCCTGATTCACAGTAAAGGACAGACTTGTAACTATGCAAAACAGCAATGACTTACAGAACCACCGTATATAAACTCTGAGATTTGAAATAAACTTTGTCACCTGCCATCAGCTTGTGTCCTCTCCTCAGTTCTTTCCTTTTGTACATATTTTTCTTCATCCACGCCCCTCCCTCGGGTACCTGAGAGACGGTTGGAGCAGGACTCCGACACCATTCCACAGGAATAAAGATGAGGCTGTCTGCGCCCGTGAAGACTCATAGTCTCAACCTCAGGAGCAGTTCTACACTGTCTCCAGGGTAGATCCCAAGACTCCACTGCAGTGGGCTCAGGCTTGGGCTATCCACTACAATAAGCACCTGCCCTAGAGCAGCAGGGTGGGGTGGGTCATAAACCAGCTCCCACCCCTGCTGGTTACTCTCCATTTCACATCCCATTGCCTCTCCTCCCTTCTCTGGCCTCTCTATGCCCAGGAAGCTGTCCCATGGTCTCCACCAGCAGGCTCCCTGGTCCTCTGGTTCACGATTGAATTCAGTCAGTGAGAGGAGATGGAAGGGCAGGAGAGATTGGGGCATTCCTTTTTTCTGTACCCTCTCAGCTAGTCTGGGGCAGAGCAGGGACTCAAACCAGCTGTCTGTATATTGAATTTATAAACTGGAGTGTGACATGTCTGAGCTGTGGCCATTGCTCTATTCCAACAGGGACATCCTGCTCCGTGGAGCACACACCCGTGACAAAAACCAACACCAAACCCACAGTTGTCAAGTTGATTGTGACTCATAGAGACACTAGGACAGAGTAGAGCTTCCCCCAAGGGTTGTCAAGACTGTCATTTTTGCAGAAGCAGATGCCATGTCTTTCTCCCGTGGAGCGTCTGGTGAGTTCAACCCTCGTCTTTCAGTTAGTCGCTGAGGGCTTTAATCACTGTGCCACTGAAGGCTCCTTCACAGCCATCAAAGCCGATGTTAACGTGCATTGGTCTGGTGAGTGAAAGACTCATCGTGGCAAGGTGAGGTCTTAGACATCTAACAAATATCTCAGACTTACTCAGATATGTAACTTAGATTACAAACTCACGGTTTCCCTTAAGAGCTTGCGGCTGCCTCAGTTACTCAGATCAGGAATCCGGAGGTCACCCTTGTCTCTCTCCAATTTGAACTGGTCTTCAAATCTCCCTTCCAAATGGCCCCAAAGCCAAGTCTCTGTCACCTCCTCTCTGATCTGAGCCACAATGGGGCCCCACACCCTGGCCTCACCCATCTCCCCCCACCTTTCTGCTCAAACCTGGCCAAGTCCTGCTTCTTGGCTACTTCATCTTTCCCTGCTCATGCCCACCCTAACACACGAGCCTGGCTGTTGTTGCTGGAATGTTCTCCTGCAAAGCCTCTGCTGAGACTACTCCTCCCACAGGACCCCAAAACACGTGGGTCCTCCAGCTCTGTACAGTGGCCTTCCTGCTTCAAGTCTCTGCCCAGACGTCACCTCATGGATGCCTTCCTTCCCTGACCAGGCTGCTTTCAATTGTAGTGCCCAGTCTCTATGTTCCCAATCCTCCCAGTTGTCATGGAGCTGATTCTGAATCAAGGTGACCCCACATGTGACAGAGAAGAGTCGTCAACAGCTGAGTTTTCTGCAGTAGATCACCAAGGCTTTCTTCTGAGGGATTCCAGCCTTCAGTTAGCCAGGTGGACACTTAGCACTACCCAGGGACTCTGGTAATCCTCCCTTACTGCTATCAACAGTCTTTTCTTTCATAGCACCTGCTAACGGCCCATCTGCCACTGTCTGTCCCTTCCCATGACAGTGCCATTCATCCAGGGCTGTCATCTTGGTTTGTGCCTGGCCCACAGTGGCCAGTCAGTCAGCTAACTGAATGAATGGCTAAGTGGAGGTAACTTACCAGAGCCTGCTGCCCACACCAAGATCAGGCAGCCCAGGGGGAACGTGAGCCCAGAGCACAGCCACCCCATTGTGAGATCCAAAGGGACCTGTTGTAAGAAAGCAAGCCCAGTTAGTATTAGTACCAGCCCAGTTCCCACCATCCTGTGTGGAGCTCTCTGAGTTGACCCCACCACCCAGTCTCTGGTGTCTGTACCCATAGTGTGCACCTCCCCATTCCCCGAAGCACTGTTTATAATGATGACCCAAATGGAATGGTATACCACTCCTATAGTGCTAATGACACCCAATAATACCCGGAGGCTTCAAAAAGTTTATTAAAAAACTCCATTATCTTTTTTTTTTCTAATCAACTTTATTATTACTTGTAACGCTAAATTAGTTTTCTTTAAAATGATATTTGATTCTTACTGTGTTTACATCAGAAAGACCTAATGATGCAGTGATTAATGATTAATGATGCAGGGATTTTGGTTAGCTCAGCTGCTAACCAAAAAAGGCAATGGTTCAAACCCACCAGCTGCTCCTCTGGAGAAAGATGTAGCCGTCAGCTTCCATAAAGCCTTAGAAACGCTATGGGGTGGTTCTACTCTGTCTTATAGGATCTTTTATCAGTCATTATTAACTAGATCACAATGGGTTTGAGACTGGTTGGTTTTCACATCTGTCAAAGCAAAATCACTGTACCACAAAATTACCCATATGCAATCGAGTACCGGATACATACTTCTTGATTTTGTTAACAAGTGATAGAAAAGATCACATCATTTCATGAAGCATTTTCCTGAGACATTGTGTATTGTTTGTTTTCTTTTAAGAGAGCAGCATCAAAGGGCTGTTTCAAAAGGTGAGTCGTTCTCCTTTTACAAGCCAGGCTCGAAAGTGCCAAATATTCTTCAGGATGATGTCCATACCTTTAACTCACGAGAGTTTATTTGCTATTTCTACAGTCTCCTTCTCAATGTTTTCTTGACTGGTGCCTTTCACATCGATGTAGTAGTCATCGGCTACTCATCGGCACCAGAGAAATGACAGGAAATTGCCTTTCGGAATCTCTGGGTTTTGTTCTGGCCAGATCTGTGGATAAGCACAGGAAAGAGAGAACGGTGTCTCTCACCCTTCTCCATCACAAGGTGCACCTACTGCTGGTTTTTTGTCATAGTCCTGGATCTCCTGGAGTTATATTAACTCCCCCGTCCCACCGGGGGGAGTCATGCTGCTTCAGGGGGCCCTTGTGTGTGCCCAAGAGCACAATCAGACAATCCTCATTTTGGTCAATGTGCTCCATAGCCGTCCAAGCACACACAATGGTATTGATGGGCCGGAAGCTCCATTCTCTTTTAGTTCCATTTTTTTCATGAACTTTTTGAAACCCCCTTCATACATAACTGGTGGTGGTGGTGGTATACCATGGAGTCAGTTCCAACCCATAGTGACCCTGTATTGGGTTTCCAAGGATGTAAATCTTTATGGGAACAGAAAGTCTCATCTTTCTCCTGCAAAACCGCTGGTAGTTTTGAACTGCTGACCTTCAGATTAGCAGCCTGACTCGTAACCACTACGCTACCGGAGCTCTTTCTCATAAGTAATTAAGGATTAAAAATTAGAAGGCACAACCACTCTAAAACAAAACACAGTTTAAATTCTGCCCTAAAATCATAAGGCCCAGCAATAATACTACTTAATACCATTCTTTTCATATAAAAATATAAATATGTATATTTATCAAAAGAACAGCATCCTCCACAAACCGAAATTTACATTTTGAATTTCAGACATCATTAATAGCCTTCCATGCCACTAAATATAAATTTAAAACATCAAAATTTAATAGCATTTCATTGTATGTTGTCAAAAAGTGCTGACTCAGGGACTTTGCATAGGGTTTCCGTGTAAATCTTTCCAGGAGCAGAAATCCTCTTTCTCTTTCAGAATGTCTGGTGGGCTTGAACCACCAACCTTGCGGTTCCCAGTCCAATGCTTATCCTACAGAGCCACCACATTCCCCATATGCTGACCACGGCTATTTAACTCTTACTTTTGTTGCTATTATCATTATTATGCTAGGGCATATTTCTCTGATTCTTTCCTGGAATTTAAGCACCTGCTCTGTCTCTCACTAGCTGGGACCTTGAGCAAGTTGCTTAACTCTACGGTGCCTCAGTTTCCTTATCTGTAAAGTGGGATCAATACCAGTCAGGGCTTGTGAGGATTCAAAAAGATAAAACATGGAGACCCTTTAAGACAACGACTGGCGTAAAGACAGGCTCGCTGTTTCCGGTTCTTATCAGTAAGATCAATCCCCAGAAATGGAATCCCATAACACAATGTGCCAGGTTAGACACCCAGCAAGGCAGAGAGGGTCCACCCCTGGCCCCTTGGTCTCTATCTGGGGACTTATTCAGAAAAGCGATTCTGCCTGGTGGCAAGAACCCACACTTTAACCTTAGACACCCTTCTGCCAGTTGTGAGCTGTGTGGAGGACAACGTTGTCCCACCTGCAACAAAATCCAAAAGGCCATGCAGCAGGCCCTGCTTCCTCTCCTGCCAGGGCCCATCACCTGCTGCTCTGTAAACACACCCAACTCAGGGTTACCTCAGACCTTCCCTCTCCCTCCTCCTCCACCTTTTCCTTCTTGTTTCCCTTCTCTCCTTCCTTCCTTTCTTTTTCCCACATATATGAGATTTAAGAATAAATGACTCCTTGCGATTTCAACATATATTGTATGAGAACAAGGACACTCACCTACATAAGTCACAATGCTACTATTAGGTGCCATCAAAGTTAGGATACTAACATGACTGTGCTGCTGAAATTCTGCTAAGGCATCGGTTACCTCCTTAATAAACCCACAGTGATGTGCTTGGTTACCATGGAGTCTTAGCACCAGGCCTTGGCTTCTGCAGAGACAGGACACAGAGCTCCTGCAGAAACAGCGGATTCCAGAAGCCACAAAAGTACAAGAAATGCCTACAATTCTTCTGATGCCAGAAAGCAGAGATGTGATCAAAGAACAGGGGGACATGTGAAAAAGACAGGAGCCAGCCAGCTTGAGCAGGTGCCGAAGTAGGGACAGTCTGAGCATCACAAGAAATAATAGAGTAAAAAAAAGAAATAATAGAGTCGTGGTTACGAATCGGACTGCGAACCGCAAGGTCAGCAGTTCGAAATTACCAGCTGTTCCACGGGAGAAAGATTAGGCTTTCTGCTCCCGTAAAGATTTACAGCCTCGGAAACCCTGTACAGGGTCGCTGTGAGTCAGAACCAACTCCACGGCACATAACCACAACAAACTGTAACTGAAAGGAAAATTGGGACCTGGAGTCTCTGCTGGTGTTGTTATGGGCTGTGGAATCATGTGACAGGACCACTGCCCCACAGCTAGGCTGTCATCTCTACAAGAACACAGTCCCAAGTCTTTTCTCCCCAGAGCTGCTGGTGGATTCAAACCGCTGACCTTCTGGTGAGCAGCCTAGCACTTAACCAATGTGCCACCAAGGCTCCTTCTGTACAGATGTTGTTGTTAAGTGCTGTTGAGTCACTTCTGATTCATAGTAACCATTTATATATAGGTTTCCAAGGTGGGTTTGAACCACCAACCTTTCCATTAGAAAGTGTTTCTCTCACAATCTGAGCAGAAAAGGGGAAGAAGGCAAAGTTGTATACCACAGCAGCTTCAAAGGATCTCCTCGTAAATATACCAGTTACTAATTAATTAGTGAGTCAGAAAAACATAAAGGAAACCAAACCAAACCCTCTGCTTTCAAGTAAATTCTAACTCATGGCCACCTCATGTGTGACAGGGTAAGCGGGCTGCCCTATAGGGGTTTTCTTGGCTATAATCCTTACCAAGGCAGACCACCAGTCTTTAGGTTAGTAGACAAACACAAACTGTAGGTGCCCCCCATTCGGGGCACTTCACAGACACAATGAAAGCAATGAGACACACAAGCACTGTGAGTTCTCGGCACAGCCTCACTTCTCTGGTATTCCTGCCAAAAACACAAATCACGGGAAATGTCAGCCTAGCCTACCTAGATGGAAGGGCTGGCTAAGGGAGAACTGGCCTGTGGTTTTCACAGTTCCCCAGGCTCTAGACAGAGAAATGTGGGGGACTGTCCCTTTTTGTTTGTCACCTCAAGAGCCAGGGCTTTGTTTTAGTCACTGCTGAGACCCTAGCACCTGCAAGGGTACCAGATACACAGGTGCACAATTAAGTGTGTGTTGCACAAATACCTTTTGGATAAGATGTGGGGCCCCTAATGGGCCTGGCTCAGGGTTCGGCCTGAACTGGAAAGTTTTCCTGGGGAGACAGAGGGATGGCCAGGACACCAGTTTCCTCTGCAGATTCCTGTTAACTTTCAGTCCCACAACTTCACCGATGCCCACAGCATCCTGTGCCCGAGAAACAAAAGTGTCACCTGAGCCCTGATTTTGTAAAAAGAAAATCAGAGAGGCCAAGACACCTGCTCAGGGTCACACAGCAGAAGGGCTTTGTGGTAAAGTTCTCCAATGGGGGCAAAACAAGCACCCAAGTCACTTGTTAAGTGTGGAGCAGCTGGTGGGTTTGAACTGCCGACCTTACAGTTAGTAGTCTAGTGCTTATCCTACAGCGCCACACCAGGACTGCAGTCAGATGGACTAAAATGTCAAGCCTTCCACCAATCAAGGTTGTCACCTTCGATCTGTTGTGACAAGGCAGCACACAAACATGCAAACACGCAGGCCCACCAGCGAGCTTCTCAGGGAGGTGCAGGGTGTGCATTTCAGAGGCAAGCACAGGGCAGTGCAGACCCAGTGAGACAAAAGGCCTCTCTCTCTGACTAGCACAGAGGGTGAAGGAAAAGATGCAGGTGACTCAAACTCAGAAGAGGAACTGCCAGGTGAACAAGTAGTCAGCGGGAGGCCATAATTTCAACTTCGCCAACGAATCAAGGGATTCCCCAGGGGTCTCCGGGGCCACCTGCCTTGCTCCACTACCAACCAGGGCAATGCCTTGTAAATACCTCGTCTCTGGCTGGCTGCTTCCAGTGTCTGCTTGGACTCCTCCTCAGACTTGGTGAGTAGAGT